AAAAATAAAAGTGTTGCTTAAACCTAACAATAACCCAGGTAGCTGTCATTAGTCATTACAGTCAGAGGGGTGTGAAGGGGTAGGAAGCTGTGGATCCTGTCCTAAATGTGGGTGGCCTCTGTCATTATCAGGTTAAGTATAACCATTGAACTTAATTAAAAGTCTATCCTCTGTGACTTAAAGTCACACGCTGAAGTGATTCTGAAATTGGGAGGCGCACACTTGATAACCCAATGATGACATACCTGTCTTTACTTAAACATCCAAGCCAGGCGTCCACTCTCTGTGGCTACTTGCTTTATTTTGACAGTATGTGGGATAGTGAAATCAAATCCTGTACATTAATATTTTGTAATCTGCAGATTATTATCTGTTATAGGACTTTCAAATTCTTTCTAAAAACTAAATCCATCTGTTTTGAATGAACTCAGATATTTGGTGCATGGCAAAGATGATTCACCTTGCTTCACAAAAGTGTTTCCTTCATCAAAAAACACTGTAACCGTCATGCAGCGAAGATTTCAATATAGAAATATGATCTCCTTTTCTTGTCAGATATTTATTTTCAAATAAATTCTCAATAAGCTCTAATCTAATAAATACTGTAGCTTTTCATCCATAGTGTAGTACAGTAATAAAAGCAGCATCAACACTGACTGGGAACAAAGTGTAGGTTAGTGGTGTCAGAGGGTAGTGTAAGTGCATATTCATCCACCATCATCATACAAACTCAATTTTGCCAGAACGGACTGCTCCTCCCCCCCTCTGTGGTCGATTCTTAAATTTTTTTTGTCGTGACACTGTTTTTGTTCCTCCTCTTTGCATCTCAGCCAAGGATACTCCCTTTGTTGATGTGGCAGGCCTGGGAATTGAAAAGTTGATACTTCATGTCAGGCAAAGAAGAGCACCTCCCCTTTTTTTTTTACACTTTTGCTTGCAAACGTGGACAGAAAAGAAAAAAAATTGGGAAGCTAACACAATGACACAGAATGTCAGGTTTAACAAATGGCTAGTATTTGACATAGTAATTGGCCAGCAAACACCAGCCATCCAGACATGCAGACCCTGTCTGTTCAGTCAGTTTTATTTAATTTATACACATTTATACTTATTAAGTAGTGGCCTTTGAAGAGCAAAAGTAAAGATGGATAAAAGAGGCCGTTAATACACAATTGCCTTCATGTTCTCAATGTAATCAGAAACTACCCCCAAATTGTGTCCCTATAACCCCAGCTTCATTTTATTATTTGATTCTCTGGGGATACAAGGAAAAACTACTTAATGTGTTATCAGTAAATAATTTGATTTCCATACACTGCACCAATCATGAGCCAGGAAAAAGGAACAAAACTCTCATGGCCTTCAGTTTCTCCAACATGTAAGTCTGTCCAGGGGAGAGACAGCTAATAAATGACAGAAAAAGGTGCGCTTCAGAGCCAGTGAACGAGCTCTTAGTGAGTTTCCATGATGTGATGTGGTAAGAGAGAACAACCAGACATCTTGACTTTCATTCCAAAGCACAGCTGAACACAAACCAGGGAGGGACATGACAGTAATCTAAATATGGGCAACCGGCTGGAGCCAATCAGAACCTAAGCATCCATTACCTCCGCCCACTCCCAACTCACCCCAAACCCTCTACCATTGCTTATTGTAGTTAAACATGTGACGTGGACACCTCAAAAGCTGCTGTTTCTCCTTCCCATCCCTAACCCGTCTGGCTGTTCTTTTCTATATATCGTCCATGGTATTTCCTCTGAAGAGACAGTCTGTGTCCTAGCTGAAACACTGAAGCTGTGCAATAAACACAACAATAATGTCAGCAGACATTTCTCTCAGTATCCTGACTCCATCAATAATTCACTTTAGCATCAACCCAAATTTTCGTTTGACTTACTTTTCCATGCTCATAAATTTGTTTCTATTTGCAAAACAGACAACCAAATTCGGCATAAAAATCCCAGGGTTTAACGGTTCCACACATGCAGTTAGTCAAGTCAAAACTTGGACACCAGGTTTCTCCATTTGAGCTGTGACGTGGAATCGTAACCCAGATTTTGCAGTTTCATGTGGGCCGACCTGAGTAGAGGTTAAATTCTTGTAGTGTTCATCTCGGCTTTAAGGTGTTGTCCAGTTGAATCAGGGTACCCCTCCCCCTGAGCAGCTGCTAGCGCCACATAAATTGTGTTTCTCCTTATTACCGACAGAAGGCGTTTAAACTTCACATACCTACATTGGGTCAAATCTTGAACTGCAAAGCTGCTTTTCAGTTAGATGATATCTTATACTAGAATTAAGTAGCCACACAATATACCAGGCAGCAATGGTGCAGTCATGTCAGCATCTCATAAAGCGTAAGTGCCAGCTCACTGTGTTGCACATATGGAGGTTACAGGCAGGGGGTCAGGGTTTACACATGCATGGTTTAACTGACAACATAACATCTCCTCCAGTTTGAAGATGTATAAAACCTGCCAGCCCATCTTTGGTACCCTTGCCGCTCTGCCGGCCGTATGCAACCCATTAACTGAGTGGAAGCAGGCTGCTTTATGAAGCCCTGACACTGGGGAGCCTGATCCTGACTTAGCTTAATCTGCTGAATAACCAGCAAAAGCCCAGTGGCAGCAATCAGCACTTTTGGCTGTGTAGAAAAGAGACACCTTAATCACCTTAAATTATTTTTGATAATAGATTAGATTACATTTACAGGGAGACTCCTGCTCATTCGGTTAAAAAGCTTAAACATGTTTTGTCTGACCAATAGTCATATAGTATAATATTAATTGCCAACTATTGATAATTTTATCAAAGTAGTTGTCAATTAATTAATAATTGTTGCAACTCTAAATTCATCTAAATTTATTCTAAATTCACTTGACATTGTTGATAGTTGTCTCTCAACAAAGTATAACTCATTCTGCAATCATATCATGGCGTCACACAATTAATCTCTTCTGTCTTATAAGTATAAGTATGTACTAGTTTTATTTAGGTGGATAAGTCACAAAAGTGATGATATTGTCCTGTGTCTGCTGTCAGCTTTTTTAAAAGCTACAATATCTATATTCTTTAATAAACAATGGATAAAATGACTGTATTATATGAAAGGGGTCGCTCGTAGCGACAAACCCAGAAAGAATTATGACTTGACTGCAGTTTCCCTCGGCTGTGCAGAGCATTTTAGCATCTCTTGGCTCATTGTTTTGGTTTTCCACCCAGCAACTTAACTGTTCTAGTTCAGTTCAGTTTTAGTCTCATTTCTTGCCACAGCAGGTAGCTGTTTTCAATGAAGCTCTGAAAACAAACTGAACGCTACCTACCCAGCAGCAAAAGGCAGACAAAGTTTGCAACCAACTAACTTGACTAAACATTTTGCCATATTGCAGGTTTAAGGAGGTTGCGAGTACCATGGCAACAAAGTTTTCAATCACGTCCTTGATGTTGCCTGTGACACAGGTGACTACTGATAAGCATACATTTAACTTGTGAATAATCTGCATCAGAAATTACTACACAATTCCACTTAGGTTTCACAGACAATATGTTTGTTTTCTAAGCAAAGAGCCATTTGTTTCAGCAACAATAACCTAGAAGACAATCAAACTTCTATCAAACTATCTAGAGGAAGAAAAAATGGTATGACGAGGTTTCACTAGATCAACCTGTGGAAGGATCATTACCACTACCCATCTCATGATGTTATATGAAGATGGCACGTTGAAGCATAAAGCATCATAGACACAGTAGTGTTGTAGTACTTGAAACCGGTCTTGGTCTCGAGACCGCTCTTAAGACCACTTTTTGATGGTCTTAGTCACATCTCAGATTCAACCAAATTTGTACTTGGTCTGAGTCGGTCTTGGACACTGAGGACTCGGGATTTTATTTCAAGACCAATCAAGACCATAACTTTGGGAATATCAATAAATTGTTTCTGATTTATTTGTTAACATCCTAACTTTGATTGGACGATTTGGCAGTGGTGGCCCAAAGGTTAGAGAAGCAAGCTTGTGACCGGGAAGTTGCAGGTTCAATCCCCAGACTGGCAGGATAAAATCTGGGTGTGGAAAGTAAACCAAGAAGTGCTTGCCCTCCCTCATTTACCACCACTGACGTGCCCTTGAGCAAGGCCAATTTATGTTGCTGTGGCTCGTGCGTAAATGTGCGCAGTGTCACTGGGGAGACGCTTCATCCAGCCGCTATTTACTGTTCATTTTTACAATCTTGCATGACATTCAACAATAACAACATCAGTAATGTCAAAGTGAAATGACATTAAGGAATGTGGTTAGAACGGCGCTACACAAATGGTGATGGGCAGAAAGTTTGATCGCGCATTTGATTTTTTTTAATAGTCTTCACTGATACAACTTATGAATACAACAGGAACACTGCAGCGCCCTGCTCCGACCATGGGTTGGTCCAGCTGCTTGTCACGCCTCTTGTAAACATCACAGCGGCTGAAGACTTCCGCAAAGGATACACTGATGTATCCTCAATTATAGCTCCTCCAGTAAGCCTCCTCGATCCTCGCTCCTCGATGTGCATTTTAAGAATTGAGACGTCCATCGAGATGGCATGCTGAGATCGATTTCAGGATCGAGGAGACTTGGGAAATGAGAAAGGCCCAGAGGCTTCCTCTCAGTGAAGCTTCTCTGAATAAATAAAGGTAAAAAAACCCTACCCGCAATTGTAAGCATGGAGTGTTGAAAAAAGATGCTTATTTTGATTTCAGCTCTTGGTGTTTGTATGTGGGTGTTTAAATGGGAATGTGGATCAGATCAATTTGAGAAGTAACTATGATCTCATTCCACATTTTATTGTGTGTCTTGTAATGTGGGGAACAGGCCTTGGTCTCGACTTGAGCCCCTAAAAGTCTTGGTCTTGTCTCGGTCTCGATAAACTCTGCTCTTGGTCTTGACTTTGTCTCGGTTTGGGCAGTCTTGACTACAACACTAAGACACAGTATAAGAAGTTGTATAAGTTGTGCAACAACAATGAAAGGTGTCACACTTTCCCATATTCATTTTCCACTACCATAAAACATTACAATGCAGTCCTATTAAGCCCTCAATGCCCCCAGCCCCCTACTGTACATTTTGCAAGGGCCTCAAACTGGATTCTGGCTCCCAATTAAAAAACAGAAACACCTAGAGCTATTGTAAAACACCCAGGGGTGCTGAAACAACCTGAATAAAGAGCCCTTGATCTTCTCAGTTAGTAAATAATGAGCGCAGCAAAAGAGCCTCATTTATAAACGTGGACTTGCTCCTGTGGGGGCCCTTGCATATGAATCTCAACTTACACTAATAAACACTTGCATAAAGCATCCTTTTTCCTTTAAACAAACAGAAGTCTTTGATGTAGTGTTACGATGGCAGAGGTTTCCAAATACAATACATTTTACGATACAAGATAACCGATGTGACAAATTGATGGGAAAAAATATTTTGGGAACAGTGAACAGGACACACTGAATCTTGCATATCTGTCTTCACAGGGGCAGAGTTCCAGTGAGACACTTGTTTTAGTCTGAATATCGATCACAAAGTTGGCCGCTGCAGGGACGATGTTCGCTCAGGTTGCAGCACCAGCATCCAAAACCATCTGGTTTTGTCACTCTTGGACACCATTCATGGCTCAGTCATTAAACACGTCTCAGTAGGATGTGACTGGAAAAGAAGTTAGGCAGAAGACAGTGTTATGGAGCAAAGGACTGCAGTGTTTGGGAAAGTTTTGGGAAGATTTCTGTACCTGTGTTAGAACATATCTTGTCTGAGATGGAACATATATGTGCTTATGTGAGGACCTGGAAAACTTTTTTTCTATTTAACTATTTATATTCTGATTTTTTTTGCATTATGTCCAGCCTGTCAATGGCCTTCTAGCCTTGGGGATCAATCAACATCCCAACTATTACAAAAAACACCTATGAGATATGATAACTCACAGTTTCCAATTTGGAGCTTTCTTTGGGGAATCTGGGGAGCTGCTGCTTCTCTCAGTCAGTAGAGAAAATTGGAGACATACAATAGTGACTAGTTGGTGAAGTGCTATAATTGGCAAGCTAACCACTAACACGCTAGACACCCATAAACATGCTAGCACTAGTCAGTTAAAATAGCTCTCTGATTTATTTAATTTTCTCTGTACTGGGTCGTCTGCTCCCCTCCTGTCTTTACTGGAGGGCGATAAAAGCTCTTCATCTAACTGCTAGTTAACAAGTTTCAATAACTTCACACAGTTTATTCCAAAGACACATTTGTACCATTGACTCAAAACACGGAGAAGTTTTTACTTTGCATCGTGGATATTATAATGGAATTAATTATTTTAGTTATAAATGCTGAAGTGACGCGGTCACAAGTCAGAAAGAACAAGATTCTTATTTCAGATACCAAAGTTTTGTCACTTTTGCATGTAAAATTTGGTGACCATGGAACAAAGCTTTTATACAAACATTTTAAATGTTACTGTGGAATGAAAATGGAGTGCTCACAAAATGGCTATACTTGAACACCTCCCAAGTTTTCAAAATTTACTCTGTCATTCAAATCCTTGTTTAAACACTGGCCAGATCAGACAGAGGAGAGAAGCAGTACAGCCAGTCTGGCCCTTTTCTTCTACCTCTCCCTGCCATCTTCTCTGTCTTTCTCTAGACCTCTTTGTCTGTCTATCTCCGTGTCTTACCTCCCCCTTCCACCCTCTCTTTTTCCTTCTCTCTCTTCCACTCTTGACTCATCCAGGCAGAAGACCAGGAATAATAGAAGACAGGAAAGAAAACTCCACAGCGACTGAGTGCGTGGGGCCAAGAACCAAGCCCATTGGCCTTTTTCCCCTCCATTCTATAACCCTCTAATTTAGCATTTATTTTAGGATGAGAGTTTATTGAGCTCAAGTCCAATGCAAAAGGCCTCAGTGACTGTGATATTCACTCACTGCACTCCACTGCATCTATGAATTAGTCATGAGAAGGGGTTTGCTGCAGTTTATTTCAAGTCATTGCGGCGTTGAAGATCAATCAAAGGGTAAGATAAGAAGAATAGAATAGTAATAATAATAATAATATATATAGAATATTGACACTTTAGTGCTTTTCCAATGTAGCACGAGATTCAAAGACAGGGCTTAATACTAAACAAATCACCATACAAAGTCTTTTAGGGACAGTTGAATGAATGCGTACATTCTCCTTCTTTCATGACAGCAAGACAGAAAGTACAATATAATATTCTATTACCTGAGAGGCAAACACCTCAGGTGTCAAAGGAGTGGCTATTTTGCCTTTATGTGGCATTTTAACAGATGCAGTTAAATGCAGAATTGCAGGGGGCAATGCGGCCTCTGTTAAAATTCCAGTTGCCACACAGCATGGTAAAAATGGGAGAATCTGTTACAGCTCAGCAGGATCACCTGGTTTCAGAACTATCCAGGTGTCCATGCAGCATAACTGTATGTGCAGGTGCAAAGAATGGAGCGAAAAATTACAGTTCTTCATTTTAATGACAGCATTGGGTTTCAGTAGGCATGGCCTAAGCCCTTACTGTCACTGAAGATGAAAAATGTGAGGAAGCATTCAGCATAGAATTAGAAATTTTACATTTACTGGCATCCAGACAAAAGTCAGGAGCCGACTGCTTTAGATATAAAAACAGAGCATAATTAGTACCTGCAGTTGTGTCAGCCATGTGAAGCGCTGCCTGATTTGAACAGCTACGAGAACTGTGAATGAAGACTTAACAAAATTCACAAGGTAATATCTGGGCCAGTTATCACACTCGCGCTTTCAACTTTACCATGTACTTCAGACTATGAATCCAAATGAAATATATACAAATGCTTACATGTAAGGTGTCCATTACGGTGCAATAATATGCTTTATATTTCAGAACTGCTCACTTTATGGCCATTCTAGCAGCATGGCAATGTTGACCGTTCGGTCCATCACTTTGATGAAGCCTGAAATAACTATTAGATGGATTTCCACATAATTTCTACAGATACCCCCTGATTTTTCATTGAGCACTATCATCGGGTCAATTTTGTATTTGTCCAATACTTGGGTTTATGACCAAATGTCTCCAAAACTAATCACATTTTAATCAGTTTCAGCTGTACTTTAGTGCTAATGATCAAATGTTAACACTCTAAACTAAGATAATGCTTAACATTAGCATGTTAGCACTGTCATTGTGAGCATGTTTGCATGCCATGCTTGTCAAGGCTTGTTTTTGCCATTTGTAAATAAATTATAGATGCAATAAACAAATACTTTTAGTCCTCCATATATATAAATAGGGGGACAATAACATACACACAAATAACTTTCACTATAATGTAGGTGAAAATGACACAACCACAAAGTACATCCTTAGAAAACATCCAATGATCGGGTCAACACTGAAGTCTCAACAAAAACTGATAATTTAAAACGAGTTATTTTTGCAGTATTACATGTATTAAATCATACAGGTGTTTCCATTTCTTTCTGATCACTTTCCTCTGTAATGTAAAGTATCCTGTCTAGCAAGGTCTAAACTCCAAACATGCCAGATTCAAATCTTACACAGGCAAACATTTCATAACACAATGTATTCCTGAAATGTTGTCATGGTTGCCTCCCTGCGCTCACTACTCTTAATGTGATAAAACAGTGCAGGTAATGAACATCCCTCTGCATAATTAGCCAAAGCACTCTTGCCATGTACCTACTTCCAAAGCTCCACATACTGTGACTGACTGACTGTTCAAAATGCTTATATTAGGACAGATCATTTGTATAATTTGCACAGCACAATCCACACACACAGCCCCCCAACCCCACTACCAGCATCCTCCGTACTTCCTCTCACATCTGAAAGCTGTTAGCCCTGCACTTTCAGGGTGACACAAGAGGCAAGCATAAATCTAAACTCCTCCTCCTCCTCCTCCTCCTGCAGCAGTGGTGGTTTCTGAACATGTGGCTGGCACCAGGATGCATCATCATGCATGACATTTCTTCTCCTGAGGCCTCCATGGTCGAATCTCAACATGGTAAACAATGAATGAAGTGGCAGAAAAAGAGATGCTAATGCAACACAGGCCGAAGAGAATTTCTTGTAGAACTGGGAATCTAGGTCAAAAGATACAGCTGATGAAATGTCATTTGACAACATTTGACTTGAACAAATTAAGAGAAATAATCTGGACTTGAACTGAAGATGTTTTAAGTTTCAGGTTCAACACTGAGTTGATCTGGGATGACCTAAAGATTATCTTGTCACATTTGATACAATCATATTTTAAAGAAAAACACTGCTTTTGATATAGATTGTAGTGAACTTTAATGACTAAACAATCATAGCTTTCTTGTGTATACTGAGGACCAAGACGTCTGCCAACAACAACATTTTTTTCTCAAAGATCTCTTTGCAAAGTGAGAACAATTGCAAAGGGGAAGACAGAAAGCATTTAACGTGGCAACTTTACTCACATCCTCCCCATGAAAAGAGGAGGTGAAAATAAGGGAGGAAGAAGACTAAGGAGGAGAAGACGGCGGCTGTGGCCATTTAAATGGTTCAAGTCGTATACACTCCCTCTGCTAAACAGTAGGTTAAGAGAAGTCATTTTTGCCCATGCTGGATGTTAGGGGAGGGAAAACAGACCACACTGCATTCTTTTGTGTTGAGGTCACTTTTTTCTTCTCAACCATTCTGAAGTACTCAGCACACTTCGGCCTGGACTGCAAGCTCGATCTAATGGAGTACCAAGGGATCTACTGCACATGCTCAGAAATGACATTGCATACTGGTGTTTCCTCTTTTCAAAACAGTTATATTATTACAGTTAAAATACAGATAAAACGGGTGGGCGACAGTGTTCTTTGCATCTTAGACTGTGACACGATGGCAATAACGTTACTTACAGCTGTTGAAAATACCTCTCTCTCCCTGTTCCCCAGTCTTCCTTTAGCGTCTTGACAAACAGCTGACTTGAACAACATAAGGTCCGGTGCAGCTGAGCTGCAGCACGGTCGCGCATTCACGTCAGGGATGGTGCGTTCAGTAGCGCAGCGTTACTTGGATTAGTGAGTGTAATAATATAACTGTTTTGGAAATAGCAATTTGTTACATTACTCTTTACTGGCAAAAGTAAAGAGTAATGATTAGAGATCGGCATGATTCACGTGGGTCATATTTTCAGGTCAGAAAATCCGGAATCCGGCTTGTGCAGACTACACGACCTTCAGCGTCAGCCGATCGCTGTGCTGTTCACACTACACAACGTGCCGTCTTATGACGGGAGTCTTGACACTACGTAAGGGGGTCACACACTACACGAGCTGACAACGGCTATGTCACATGATGGCTGGTCTACAAAACACATTTTGTCAACAAAACACAGGAGAAATAGGAAACAGGAAATGCAAAACTACACACGAAACAGCTGCTGTTTGTTATTATAAAGATAAAAATTATAAAGACAATGAATATGGCTGAAATAATGAATTAGCACATACAGGTGGCAGGGATTGTCTGCGCTACAGAGAGAGCTGGAGGTGAGTAAAAAGTGTTTTGTAGTGAAAAAGTAGCTGCCTGCTCTCATTGGCTGGATGTGGATGTCGAGTCGGCCGACTCCTCCGGATATTTGGCATGCTAGATATCTGGCAGACGTCGGCGATGTGCCAGAAATGTGTCGGGGAGCCGTTCTGACGTGTCATTGAGTAGTTCACACCTGATCACAGCCCGACGGGCTTTACTTGCATACAAGGATGTAGGATGAGTATTTCTTTTCTTGTGCTATACATAAGAATTCAACTGAATTTTGTAAGAAGGCATTGAATTCCAAATTTTAAAATTTGCCAATATCCGTCAAGGAAGATATTGTCTTGTTGCATTGCTCCTTTCACATTCAGAATGCGTGCTGGAGGGAAGACTACAAATCAAGTAAAACAGCAGAGGAGGCTGGTATAAATAGAAGTACTCTCTTTATATTAACACTTTATGTAAAGATTATATTATATTGCCTTCCAAACTAACTGTTTGAACAGGAAATTATTCTGATAGAGCCTTTATTTTGGGAGGCACGGTGGTGCAGTAGGTAGCAAGAAGGTCGTGGGTTCAAACCCGGCCATTTTGTTTGGAGTTTGCATGTTCTCTGCATGCTCCGGCTTCCTCCCACCATCCAGAAGACATGCAGGCTAAGTTAATTGGTGACCCTAAATTGTCAATTGTCAATTGTGAGTGGTTGTTCGTCTATGTGTGGCCCTGCAATGGACTGCACCCGATGTCAGCTGGGATTGGCTCCACCCCCCCCATGACCCTGTACACAGGATAAGCGGTTGACGATGGATGGAGCCTTTATTTCCCCTTTGTATCATTACACAATCTTTCCCTAACCAAGCAGTTCTTGTGCCTACGTACTTAATCTTAACAAAGATTTCAAATTCAAACTTTTATGGTCATATGTACACAAAACAGTTGTATGCAGAATAGGAATTTTATTGTACTGTGTGACAACTGTTTCCTGTACATATGAAGTTGAAATTAAAAACGATGCTATGGTTAAGACCGTAGGCACAAAAACTATTAGCTTAAGGTTAGGGAAAGACTGTGTAATGGTTTGAAGGAAAACAATGTTGACTGTCAGTAAGCAATTTGGTACAAACAGGGTTCTCCCTTGTCAGAGTCACATGGTCTCTTGACCCATCTATTCACCCTAACTTCAACAAGGGTTGTGTGTGTGTTTGTGACAATGTCACACTACCCTTTCATTTAAATCCTTTGTCGTTATTTTATGCTTTTAAATCCAATGTATATCTTTTTATTATCTTGTGTTTTTTAATCTTGTCTTCATGGCTTTTATGACTTCTGTAAAGGACTTGTAGTTGAAAGCTGCTATACAAATACACTTTCCTTTGCCTCACTTCCAACTTTGCAGACTTTAAGACAAATTACAATTACAATACCAATGTCAGGCAAGGATTGGTAAAACTTTAAGAAAATAACATTAAACTAATTAGTAATGTGATTACTTTCCTCATAAAGTAATCACATTCAGTCATTAGTAACGGACTACTTCCCTAAGACATGACACCTCAACCTTAAAAAAAAACAGTTTTTTTCACACAAATAACACAAACAAACAGACAGAGTGTCGTTTACCTCAGAACATCATTCCTGTGGTTTCCTGCTTGGTCCTGGAGGGAGTCCTACAAGTCCAAGCTAGGAGGCATCTTTTGATCCTTCACTGCCATATGCTGATGTAATGTCAAGCACTGGAACCTGGGGGCCTTGAGAAAACAACATGAACAGAGGCATTTTGCTCTTCACTGAAAAAAACCCCCAACAACTTGCCATAAGGTGACACTGATTCACAGCCTGAGGATGAGACCCGTGTTTAATTAGAATCACAGCATACAAGACATGTAGGGTTTTGTAGTCTTTAGTCAATACCTTACTTTCTAGTAAAACGTTTCATTTTTTTCATCGAATGTGTGATAACGTGTATATGAAACTGGTTGAACGAAGGCAAAGGCTCTGAGCATTTCTCTTCCTCCATATGATTAAACTTACTTTTGAAATCACATATGGTGCACAGATGAATATTGCTGCTAGACTGGTCTGGCTTCCTGAAGAGTTAGGTTTTCTGCAAAGAGAACAGTAAAACATAAGGAACATTTTTTCAGAGGGGATTAATTTTAAAATATTCAGATCACTGCACTCATGACACAACACAATGCAGAGGTTGGAGAGGCCAGAAATGTTAAATATGGAGAAAGGAAGGCTCAGGACACTTTACTAAACACACAGATATGAAACCAATGTTAACTAAACAAAACAAGAACCTCTCTTTACTTTTACCTGACTAAATGTAGAATATTTATTTAGGAACATACAGTAATTGGAGAAGGGACAGCTCTTCACACTCATGTCCAATGCAAGTACTATTATTTGTATTATAATAATAAAGCCATTATTGAATGTCTGCCCTGATGAAGGTCTGGTGCCTGGATATTCTGCTTTAACATTGATTACTTGTGGAGCTGTAGAGGTTGATGAAAAAATAAATCATCATCTGTGCATTTTTAATAAAGAATTTGGACTGGTCGTGGTTCCGTCCACCTGTAAACGCGCATGTGGGTCCAGAGTATAACTGGATCAAAGTGGCCTGCGGACAGACATGTCCTGGTTTCTCTGTAGTGTCCGAGGGTTTCTGGAGTTTCAGTGGACCCAAACATTGCTATGGACCCGAGTACAGACTAGCTAGAGAGAGTTGATTAAGTGTACAGTTTATTCTCTTTTCAAAATAATTGTAACTCAATTATTTGCTCAACCCCTCAGCCTGTTTTTATTGTCCATTTAACTCTTTTAACCCTGATTGTACACTGCACTGTAACTTTTATTATTTTTTAATGTGTATTTTTTCAATTTCCCTTTTTTTATATTTCCCTGTTGCTTTTATGTTTTATGTAAAGCACTTTGAATTACCTTGTTGTTGAAATGTGCTATACAAATAAACTTGCCTTGCCTTGCCTGGTCAGTGGTGAAAGAAGTACTCTATTACAAGAAAAAGGCATGCATTCAAGTAAAACTACTAATGTTACTATAAGCATCAAAATATACTTAAAAGTACCACAAATAAAATGACTCATTAAGCAGAATGGCCGTTTCAGATTAATATACATTAAATATCAAATAATTTAAATTAATTCGTATAACTGGGTAGCTTGTGAATTTTCCAGGGATCTTATCTTATCCTATAATATCAGATCATCATTTATTTGTTGATTATATTTTTTTATCATAATCCTAATCAGCAAATTAACAACTAAATACAAATGTAACGTTAGTGGACTAAAAACACCTCTGATTTTAGTGGAGTAGAAGAATAAAGTAACAAAGAAAGAAAATGTAAATACTCAAGTAAAGTACTAGTAGCTTACCTCAAAACTGTACTTTTGTACAGTAGTTCAGTTAACTAAATGTAACGTTACTGAGTTACTTTCCACCACTGGTCCTGGTTGTGTTTAGCCTAATTTAGCAAAAATACTGATAGCAGGTGGGAACTATAATGTTAAGACAAACTTACCCTAAAAGAATAACAATACATAGGCCTATTCCAACTGCTCCAAAACGGTGTTATTATATTTACATCTTATATCATCTTATTAGCCGCAAGCAACGTGTATTTTGCGACATGCTAGCTAGCAAAATAGCTAGCACTATAACGTTAGCTAGTTAGCAATCTATCGAGTCACCTGAGTAAGTTACCTGTTAACTAGTCCCCCTTTTGGTCGGTAAACAATTCAAAACCAACCTGTCACGTTTTGTATTTATACATATATTGTATAGACAATATATAACGTGTAATTAAAACAGCTAGGCGTTGTTGGAAACTGTTCTGCTAGCTTGCAAGGCTCCCAGCCTTACTAAGCTAACGTCAGGCAGTAACGTTATGTGTAATCAATCTAAATCATAACATCTCATCTAACAGTAAGAAAGAAAACACGTTTTGTTTGAGGTTACGTAATCTTTATAGTTTACATTACATAAAAATAACAATGGGAAATAATACCTAAATTACCGTAAATGCAGTAATACAAAATAGTATTTATAACATCAAAGATTTATTTATGTTATTAGATAAGAATAACAAAATTATTTAAGAGATTAGAATAATAATAAAACAGTAAAACATGAAATGATCTGGAAGACTTGCCTCCCTTAATTGGATCTCTATATTATAAAAAAAAGCATTATGTAAAAACATTATATATTTGGAAAATATCATACATACATTTTAAGTTTATGTGAAAAAAATTAATGACATGAAGTTCGGACTTATTGGCACAGTGACATGTAAAGTAATATCTGAATTGTATGGGAACCTTGGGCATCATGTCATAATCTTATAAACACAGAAGGGACAGATAGTACAGGACAATCATTTACTTACCATGCAGTCATACATATTAACAGGCTTTAGTAATATTCATTCACTCATAACCACAAGTCATCTCAATTTAAGAACGGTAATATACACTACAGATGGACAGTGCTTCCAGCTAATGTAAAGATCAAGAATGCATTGAAATAGTTTTGGGTAGTAAGGCATTCCTGCTTAAAAAAATGTGCCCAGAATATTGTCTTAGCAGTGTAAAAGCTAGGACGCTGTTAATTATCGTTTCTGTGGCTGAGGGGAGAGTATGAGTCATCAGACAGATGGGAATTTTCCCCCTACATAGTTACTGACTTCCCTATTTCCATTTCCAGTCTCTCTAAGTTTGAGGTTTCCTGCTGTCTCATCTGCCTCCTTTTCTCTATTTTTTTGGTTCTCTAGAAATAATGGAGCTTCAATATGGAGACTAAAAACCCCACTTTCCCTTTTAATGCATTAGAGAACTCAACACCTCCTCCTACTCAGTTATACTCGTCTTTCTATCCTTGCTTCTCTTTGCTTGTCTCTTTTTCTTTTTTTCTGCTCAGCTGTACCTCCTTCTTTCCCCCGTTTTCCTCACATGTGAACATCTCTGTCGGCCCCAGCATTTATTATCGCTTGCATAGGGGCCGGCAGCCAACTTGGGGTAACGACTTTTCCAGACGGGATCTCTGAGCTCACTTCCCCCAATCATTCCTCGCAAACTCGCTTTGCGACAGAGTCAGACTTTAGCCTAAAGTCATGGTTCTTTGACACTATTTATTAGTCAAAAGTTTACAACTGAACAGAGCAATAATCAAAGTACTTAGCATGACTAAGAGATCTGCAAAACATGGCATTGATAGAATACTACAGATTACAGAATACTGATATTTGGATAATGCAGATGAGCAAAAGAGAAAAGTATGGATAAAAGGACAGGGCACTGACTAACTTTCCCAGATGTTGGAAAGCCACCCTGAAGAGACTGCAGGTCAACTGGAAACTACTTTCAACTATAACTTTAGACAAAGTATTAGACAAAGCATCTCTTTATTTGCATTTCTCTCGGTGACAGGTTATAATACTACAAATTTAAAAACTTTTATAAGCAATTTGGAGTTGATGATTCAAAATAGTTCCTGATAAACGTGTCTAATTTGGAGACACACACTTAAACTTGTGTCACTTTTTCCATTTTTGTGTGTCCCCCATCCAGAATAGAATATCCCATCCCAACATCATTGTGCTAACGCCTCTCTCTCTCATCGCATTGCAACAGGCTCTTTCACAGAGCCTGTGTGGCAGCGAAATATGACCCATATGCACAGTGGGGCTCCTTGGTTTTTGTCTTATGGTCTGGGACGTTGTGCTAACATATGGATAATCAACCTAATGTCATCAGATAAGGGGACACTTTGAGGGTTTCCTCTGATTCTCTGTCGTGTAGTGCCTAAGAACAAGTCAGTTGTCCTAGAGCTTTTGTACACATTTTCTGTGGACATATTTTCCACAAAATCTCACCTGACAGTTAGCTGTCATTTGCTACAGTCAATAATTTTTAAATATCAAAGGATTAACCTCTGAACATAAACTCACTACAAAATTAACACTCTCTGCTCCAAAGGATTTACTTCATGAGATTCTAAGAGCAACCATTAGCTTAACTTTTCACTGTCCAATATGCTGTCTCTGCCTTTCCCTTTTTCTAGCAGTGCCATGCTTGCCAGCAGTCTTGCACATTGTCTGAAGTCAGGGAAGGATCCAGTCATATTTTCCATCCACTCTCTGAGTCTGACTGGATGTCTGCGCTGGTGGGAGAAAGGAGAGCAGGCGGGGAGAAAAAGAGGGAGGGATGGAGAGCTGGAGTTTGGATGGGGGCAGGGACAGTGGAGAAATCCAGATTCACAGACAAGAAGAAAACCAGACCGAGAAACAGGGGAAACAGGCCTTTGCTGAAGTTTGTCTTCTGTCAGAGAAACAAAGCCAACAGATAGCCATGTAGCACATCCCATGTCAAATCCTGAACAAAATATGTGCCATGTGGCATCTGACTTTCTAATCAAAAGCTGGGCAGTTAAAATTAATCCATCATTGGATAGGCCAACATAGTTTGTGGTACCATGTTGGTGCAGACTTTGGGCTTTTAGCTTTGGGTTCTCCACCTTTTTCTCTCACGCCCCAAAGGGGAGGTGAAGTGTTGTGATGGGTGGAGCTCATGAGAGGCTGGATAAGGCAGCTCTAGTTTCAAAAAGTGTTTGAATTATTTAAATAATAAATATTTTATACACATCATTTCCTATTCTGTGCAACCTTTTACATTATCTTATTAGTGATAATTTCATGCAAATGACAAAGATTTACAATTGATTGATGTACCACCATGTATAATACAGGACTGGGTCATCTGTAAATCATATCAAATGTCAAGTAATAATTTTGCTGGTGTACAACACATTATTTAATAACTCTAATAATCTGCCTAATGCTATACTAATTTCAAAGAAAAAGCAGAATTAAGAGAGGATTAAGGATAGGATAGGCGTTGCCTCTACATCATTATGTTGTGGTAAGTTGTGTCAATTGTGAATGTTTTATAAATGCTTTTAAAAAGCTAATAACTTCCCCTTGAGTTAAAGAAATAGTACGACATTTTGGGAAATAATATTATTTTCATTTTCCCATAGGTAGAAGTTAAGATCAATACCACTCTGATGTTTGCTTTAGATGTGCTAGGCGAGTGTTGTTACCTTTGGACAGAGCCAGACTAGCTGTCTCCCCCTGTTTTCAATGTTGATTCTAAGCTAAGCTAACCATATCCTGGCTGTATCTTCACATTTAAAAGACAGAAATGAGAGTGGTATCAATCTCATCTAACACTCGGCAAGGTGATTAAGCGTATTTCACAAAATGTCAAATTATTCCTTTATGACGGTTGAAAGCTGGACAGAAAAAGCTAGTAGGTGTACCTTGGGTTAAGATGATTTTGTCAAACTACTACTACTTTAACAGTCACACCTAATATTGGCTGTTCTGGAAATACTGATGGGAGATAGTTTTACCCTTTCAGACTGCAGTTTTGATACAGCAGAAGCAACCTAACAGGGACCAAGCTTAACTATGACTTCATGAATTCATCTATTATATACATCTTTACAGTAGCATATATTCCAACCATCCATCGCCTGCTAGTGCAGAATATGACTGTCTATGAATGTAAATGACTACTGTAGTGGGGAGAGTGGTGCTCAGCCAGCAGGCACTAACCCGATCCTGGAGACTAAAAAGACAAAGTTGGGCCTTCATGAGATGATTGCAGTTAATGTAGGGCTCCATTTGAAGTAACAATCAGAAGTGGGCTGAAGCATGTACCCTGTAATTGAACATTTACCCAACGCCGCGTGGAAGTCCCTTTTTTTTTTCAACTGATGCTACTACTTCGAATGAGCTTGCAGCATCTGGGCCAGAGCTGGATGTTTTATTTTCACAAGGGCGACTGATGCAGTCACACTAGTTATTTGCTTGACTGTACACATACACGTTAGAAACAGGCTGCCCTTATTGTGAATGAGGATCTCTGCTGGAGACCTGAAGTTTACAAAGGAGCTCACTCATCAGGTTTTATCAAATGAGCTGCAGTAGTGCCAAGTCATAATTCTGCACAGTGACTTTAAAATATATTATTTTTCAGCATTTTTTGCAGACAGGAAATGGTTTGGGAGGAAGAGAGTTATGACATTTATTTAAAGTCCACAGTTGGAATTGAGTTTTAGGCTACCAGGACACCCCGATGGACAGTGGCTTTTGTGACGTACAGTATGTGATGATCTATGTTAAACATCAACAGTTTCATTTGAAAACTTGAAAAAGGTAGCATCTACAAATTGATCTACTTAGTGTGTTGTTCACATTTCATAGTACACTATATTGTATGTTTGTGTATTGTATATGCAGTGTTGTCCACATGTCCAATTATGGTAATTTATATAGTGGCCTCAAACTATCCTACAATGCATAAGTAATGTACAATTTATGGTCACTAACTAAAAGCTAGCTCCCATCTTGAATTGCACAGACAAAGAAATTTGATTGCTACCAGGTGAAAGGAATGACCTGGGTAGTGTATGAAATAGCTTTTTTCTATGACACACTACTACACTAGGTATAATTCCATATATATATATATATAGGTATATATATATGGTAAATACTGAGTGATATCAGATCCAGCTATTAGAGGGGTCAGTGCCACAAAATGCGGTTTCCATCTAGTACCAAGTAATGCCAGAATCACCACTGAAACAGATACCAAAGCAGATACTTTTTTATTAACAGTGACTATTGAAAGCCAACCATGAACATTTGATGATATCTTGGTTTGAATCTCTCAGTCCCTCGTTTCCTGTTATCTCTCTGTTTTGTTTTTTTTAAAGTGACTAATGGAAAATCATTTAGGGAAGAGCCATGTCATGATTTATGAGGTGAATGCATCATTAATCTACCTCTGAATACATTTTCATAATCACCAAACAATTTGCCAATCATCATGCCGTTTTTGTTACTATTCTCCCTTAAGTTCTTAATCACATGCATGTTAAAACTTATTGTGGGAATTCTCTAAACTAATGAGGTGATCACTGGGCATAATTACAGAACAGCAGCAGAGAAGCATGCAAGAAGGAGAGTATACATGTCCCCAGAGAACAAACTCAAAACAAGAAATGGTACGGGTCATATTGATCATTTAGGTATCTAACCACTGACCCCTACCAATGAAA